TTGTCTGTAAGGCTCATCTCCAGGACCATCTTTGCATGAGTCTGTTCACGCCCCTCTCTGGCTTAAGAGCTAAGACTTACTCCCTTTCTCCCTTTCATTTCTCCCTTTCGGTTGTCTCAATCGCTTTATGAAGAATCTGATCACCTGATCACCATTTATCTTACGTTAAACTATTTGCAGATATGTGGTGTCTGTTCTAGTAGCTGGGAAATAAGCACCCAATTTATCTGTATTTCCCTAGTATTTGGCCTAGAGTCTTGAGCTGAACAAGCATAGCCTGTGACAGAATTTTAAAATATGTCTGCACCTGATTTGAGATGGGTTCTCTTTTTTTCTCATTCCCTTCATTGCTTCCATCCTTCTCTCCTCCTTTCCTCTTTCTGTGCCCACTCCATGCATTTTTCTTTGTTTTTCTTCTTTTCTAAAATGACAAAGCCTGTCTATGCATGCATGGATAAGCCAAGACAAAGTTCCCATTGAGCCATGGTAATGAAAGCCAAAAGAAAGCAATACTAGAAATAATAAAGAAAAAGGAGATTTTCAGTATTTAAAATTCTTCCAAAGAAGAGGGTATATAATCTCTCTGAGGTGAGAGAACAATGAACTGTCAGCATCCTGTGTTAACTGATCTTAAACTGAAGTTGTTTCAGTGATGTTTGGCTGAACTTGTAAGTAGAGGACTGTTTACATTCCTGCCATTCCTCTCCAGTAAGAATACATTCAAAACTAAGAATCAAATTACCATAGACATGTTTTGGATAGCAGTGAACAAGAGATTAGAGGTTAAGGGATACATGTGAACACTGCTCTGGCTCTACTTTGGAGGTCAGTAGTCCATAAAACACCTGTCTGATTTCAAATTCATCATCAGAATGGATGATCATTTTTATAGATCCGATGGGTATTTTTGAGCACTGTGAACCTCATGTGGCTTTAGCTAAAGGAATGCCCAATTATCTTAAAAAGATCACTGAGCTTAGCATATTTGAAACATAATAGACATTTGAAAGAAAATGATGCCGGCTACTTGCTAAACCACAATCTGGGTTCTCCTGGTGGGTGGATCAAGATTCAGGCCATTTCCCTGATAGATCACAAACTTAATGTTTTGCCCTAAAAGTGGGGGGCCCCTTCAAAAACAAAGCTCATATTAACCATATTCATCAACCACAGACCTACTTCCAAGAATGCCAACTTCTTGAATTAGACTGTGAAACTTGTTAGCCAAATCAGACATTCTGTTCAGCTCTGTATCTCCCTGTAGACAAGCTCTCATAGTTATGATTTGACTTGTGCATATGGGTGCCAGTCAGCCACTAGGTATGTGGCTTCAGAGTATCCTAGAACCCACCTGTGTCTTTAAGAGGATGATATCTACCACCATCTCTTTATAACTTTCATGCATGTGCTCTCCTTACGTATTATTCCTGTGTGATTTCTTACATATATCATATTCTTAGTGTTTCTTAATATTGTTATAGTTGCAAAATTGGCCAATTTTATTTACAGAAAGCATTGAAAGAGTTTTATCTTGACCTCCACAATGGATCCATTCTTAAGGATAGGATAGACTGATGACTAAGTGTCAGATTTCCATAAGCATATTGAAAATATCAGTGAGCAAGGAGTTACCACCAAAGAGTTGGGGGATGAGATTTAAAAATAGAGGTTGGCATACGTCATAGAAAGGGTAACAAAAGCTCAGAGATACTAAGTGACTTAACCAAAGATCCTACAGACTCTAACCTATGAGCACTTCAAATCATGAAACATATCTAAGATTGTTTTTAGAGTCCCAACAACACTTCATTAACTGAGAGGCACTTGTAACAGATTTGTTGATGATAATAGAAAAGCTATAGAGATATGTATTGACAAAACTGATATGTTTGGCTATTTATAGCATCTTCCCTTTGCTAAATATTTCACAAGTTTTTCATTCAATACTGAGTTCCTCTTAATACAGTTAAAACATGACTTGCTTTATAAAAATTGGGCTTTCCAGAAATATTTTAAGAATGCATCCATGTTTTCAAAGATGAATGACTTTGAACTATTACTTTAGGGTTTAAGAAAGACAGATGGTTTTCTTCTAGTCAGTGGTGTATCAGTTATTGCTCTCAATAATAGGCTTTGGTGGAAGAGAAGTTTGTGTACAGATGTGCTAGCCAGAATCCATGCCTCATCCCAATCCCTCGATGTCCCTTGAGCTGTATTTGTGTCCTTCCCACTCACACTCTTTTGGGAGTTTTTCGGAAGTGTCATACCTAACAATCTCTTCAAATGTCTGCTCAAAGACTGCTCTTACTTTTTGACCAAAATGCCCAAGTGCCCAGAATGTTGTAAGGACAGTTTAGAAGAGTATCACTCCTCAACCAGCTCTGCAGACCAGGAATGTAAATGCCCAGTTCCCTCACCTCTGGTGGGTACAAATAGGGTGTATCTGCAATGCCAGAGGCTAGGACTTTGCCTTGGATCAAATCCTTGGTGGCTTCTATCTGCTTCTGCCTCGTTTCCTCTCCATACTCTGCTTTCTTGTTTTAAGCTTATTTTTTTGCCAAAAAAAACCCTACTTTTAAGTAAAGTCACTCACAGGTAACTTGAGTTTGAATAACAGAATCCATTTTTTAATTTATTTTATTTTTTAAGATTTATTTTTATTATTATTTTTTTTTTTGGTTTTTTTCGAGACTTTCTTGTGCAAAAAAAAATGTTTTGTTTTTTTGTTTGTTTGTTTTTCAAGAGAGGGTTTCTCTGTGTAGCTTTGTGCCTTTCCTGGGACTCACTTGGTAGCCCAGGCTGGCCTCGAACTCACAGAGATCCGCCTGGCCCTGCCTCCCGAGTGCTGGGATTAAAGGCATGCGCCACCACAGCCCGGCGCTTTAAGATTTATTTTTATTTTGTGGGCATTTGTGTCTTGTCTGCATGTGTATCTGTGTGAGGGTATCAGATCCCTTGGAACTGTAGTTACAGACAGTTGTGAGCTGCCATGAGGGTGCTGGGAATTGAAACTGGGTCCTCTGGAAGAGCAGCCAGTGCTCTTAACCACTGAGCCATCTCTTCAGCCCCACAGAACCCATTTTTGGAGTTACAGTTCTGCCCAAAGTAGTAAGGTACAATGTTAGGTTTGGAGATTGCAAAGACTGCAGCATCACCCAGCCACAGAATTAGTTCCAGGAAAGACACTTAGTATGGTCATTAACCCTTTTTTTCCGTGTGTGTGTGTGTGTGTGTGTGTGTGTGTGTGTGTGTGTGTGTAACTAGAGGTCAGTTTTGGGTGGCTTCCTCAGTTGCTCTACACTGTTTTTTGAGGAAGCATCTCTCATTTTTATGCAGAGCTTAATGATTTTACTTGACTGGCTGGCCAAGGGAGCCCCGAGAATTCTGTTATCTCTGCCTCCCTGGCTCTAGAATTATAAATATGCAAGTAGGTTCTATGGGTTGAACTCAGATCCCCATAATGCTCAGCTAGTGCTTTAATGAGCTATCCTTCCATCCCCTGGACCATATCCCTTATTGCTTCTGACACTCGTGTTGTGGGCCAGAATGAATCACTGGCCCTTCCCTTGAGATCCCTCCTCTCGGTTCTCACCTCCACGAGAAAGGGAACTCTGGATGTGTGATCTCTTTCTTTCAAGTGAAATCAATTGAGAGCCAACATGGAGCTGCCAAGATCAGGAGCAAGCTTGTCTACTTCTACCACAAAGGATATAGGTGTCTCAAGATGAGAAATTCTTCAAAGACAGGAGTTTTCAGATGGGCAGCCAAGCCAGAAGATCTAACAAACAACCACTTCACTTGGGCTCAATGACAAATTAGGATGCCTGAAAGTGTATATAATTGGCTATGCATGTTTAGTGATGAGTTGAATTTGTTTTTGTAGGTGAATGAAACTTCTGGCTTAGAAAATATACTTTTACATTATTCCATGAAATGCACTAGTTTCATGGAATGCTAAGTTAAATACTTTCTGCTTTATGAAAGCTATTATATTTTGTACAAAGTATGAAGATATCATTTATTAATATATGGTGTTAGTATCAATAGAAGGCATAGGGACCTAGTTAAGTTCATGATATTAGTTTGGCCCAGAAAATGGAAATGAGCATTTTTAATTAAAAGACAAAGAATAGAATTTGAGGAGTTGATATCAGTTGAGAGACTCTTAAGTGTGACACATGAAGCCTGACGGTGGCTGAAGTAGAGGTGACTTTACAACTGTGTCCTCTTCCTTGTCATACACAGAGTCACTTCATTACAATGTAAACTGCTAGATTTCACATTTTGATGAACATCCAGAATTCTATAATCTTATCTTTTTTAACGGTCAACACTCTAGAGCAGGGGTCACCCAAAAGCATCCAAATCTGGCCCACCACCTGTTTGTATAATGTTTGTGTGCCAAGAATGGTTTTACATATTTAAATACGGACTATAAAAATGACTATTAATATGTCCATGAGAAGAGTTGTTTGAGCTGCTGAGGACACTATCTGTTGGCTGGCCAACCCTAAAATATTTAGTATCTGGCACTCTGAAGAAATAGATTGCCGATCCGTGTATGAGTATGTAGCCAAGTAAGAATTCTGCATTGAAAACATTATATTACATAAGAAACTGGCATTTATCAAATGTGTCTCTATATTTGTTATCAAGAAATATCAACCATAATGGAAAATAATTATGTTTCAGGGGGAAATGCTGGAAATGAAGGAACTATAACTGGAGGATAATAAAATTAAAGACTTCAATATGCCTTTTTCCTCTTCCCACGCCCTATTCTATAAATCATAAATGGGAGTCACGTGGCCCACCACGAGGCAAGAAAACACACAGGACAAATGATTCCGTAGGATTGTATGACACCTGTAACTTCTCGAAGCACTCTCCTGATGGCGTTTAATGTCTCACGGCTGTGTTACAGCAGTAACTCAGGTTTTTTATTGTTCAGTGCTATGAAACCCAATTGTGTATGTTCTTTTTATCTTTCATGGTGACAGTTACTCTACTCCTCAGCCAAGAGATTTAGTTGAAAATCAAGAACTTCATGGATGCGCTACTTGCTTGAAGCTTTTTCTGGCAGCGGTCAGCACTGGAGGCTCAAAGGTACCGAGACAATCGTAAAGTTCTGCTTGTTTAGTAAGTCAAGGATGTGATTTTTAGGAGATAATCCTACATGTGCTTGGAAAAATAGTCTTTTGAACATCTGCTATATGCACTGTGTATAAATGTCCTGCTAAATCACTCAGCGCCTGCCAGAGAGCATCATTTCTAACATGAGTGTTCTGCTTAAGAAGATGTTCACCTCTAGGCCAATGATGTGCGTGCCAGGTAGAAGACTTATTTGCCATGCACAAGGCTCTATGTCCATTCCCTAGCACCACCAAAGCATAACACTTTTCTAATGATGTGACTATGACAGTTGTTATTAATCACATAGCGACCTGGAATAATGAACGCTCATCTTACTTAAGTGTATTTAAGTCCAGTGTTATGGTGGAATTTGATCAAACCAGAGGAATGATTCAAAGAACAACAGCAGCTAGCTTTAGCAAGCCCATACTGTGTGGTGGTTCTGTAGTTAGCATGTTGCCTGACTCAGTAATTCTGAATGCTTATGACTTAGGATTCTTCTGTTACTATTTATTGATGATTTCTCTGCCATAGCCTGATAGTAATGTTGTGGGACCCTTCCTCAAAACTATGACAATATTCATTTCATAGATCTAGTGTTCTGTATTATTCTAAGCTGATAGGGTAACTATTCAAGTGCAGAGGTGCTCATTCTAGATTTTTCAAAGCAGTGTCCTGAGTTTATGTGGTCTGCACAGCTGGAAGGAGATGTAGTTAGAGGGAACTTGGGTTCTTCATCAGATTGACAGACACCTACCTGCATCTTTAATTCTACTTGGACTTTTAATAGTTTTGTTTTCATACATAAAGTATTTGTCGTATTTTAGAAATTTTAATTGTACACATGTATGGGTACTAAAATATAATTTGGTACATTTATGCAATGGATAATGATCAAGCCAGGGTGATTGGCATTTCCATCCCTTAGACATTTCTCATGTCTGTGTTTTGAACTTTTGAATATCTATTTTGTAGTTCTTTGTTAAGACATATAGTGAAGTTTCTTTTAAACTATAGACATCTTGCTATGATGTAGAATGTTAGAATTTACTCTGCCTATAACTTTTTTGTTAGCTCCTACCCACCTACCCTCTACCTTACTTTTTCTATTCCCTCCTAGCCTCTAACAACCACAATTCTAATTTCTAATTCTGTGAAATCAACATTTTTAGCTTCTGTATGGGGAAAATGCAGGATTTGACTTTTTGTGTATGGTTTATTTCATTTAACATAATGTCTTCCAGTTTCATCTACTTTGCCACAAATAATAGCATCCCATTACTCCTCATGTCTAAAGTATGTCCATGTGTTCTTTACCTGATGATAGATAACTCAGCTGATTAGGCTTGACTAATGCATTTCTGGTCTGGAGGAACAACTGCTTCTTTTTAATACTAATTTCATATTCTCTCTGTATCTATCTATCTATCTATCTATCTATCTATCTATCTATCTATCTATCTCTATCTCTCTTTTTCTCTCCCAGGAACAAAAATGGCTAGGACTTTTACAGTTCTGTATTGAGTTTTCTGAGGAATTTTCATCCTATTTTCCACAATTCTTAATAGATTATTCAACTAACGTGATAAACTATATATTCTCATCATCCCTCATTGTAGTTTAGATTATACTGGGAATAAAATCCCAATTATTTAGCCAGAGATTCTAGGTAGTGGCTGTCTGAGATTTTTATCCTTCAAGTGGGTATTCAAATACCAACCTGAGTAGGAGCTATCTTACGAACACATAAAGATATTTCATGGCCTAGAGGTGAATAAAGAGAGGAGGGAGAAAGATCACAGTATGGAAATGAGTGTGTCTTCAGTTTCCACTACCATGGGCAGTAGATATGGTGGTAGGAGAGTGATCTTTGAAATAACCAGAAGTGTGCAGACAAAAAAAATGTAATAGTGCATACTAGGGTGTTCAATTAATAAAATAAACACCAAAAATGCACAGGCAACTATATGAAATGTCAAATGATGGAATTAAAGGGGTGACAACTCCAGTACAGTACCAACATACATATACTGCTGAGTTTATCTGCTTGTAACTGAAGTCTCTGATGAAAGGCTAAAATTCGAGAGGATTTGCATTATTTAAAGAAAAACACTTTAGTGTTTCTGTTGTCATAGCCTGCTTCAGATTTAGATCCTTTGAGCTCTGCACTATTGGATCAAACAGTATTATGTGTTTTGACTCTCCATGTGTATTGCCTTGATACAAATGTTGAAGTCAGTAAGAGGGAGCACTATTTACAAGAACTCATCTTGCTTTTCACCCTCTATCAGTTGTATGTTATTATCCCCAAATTCTAAGGGGATATTTTTAAAACCACACACCTACCTAGAACCTAGTAAAATTTAAATTTACTGGACTTGATTCCAAAGATTCCATAATATTAGATAAAATTGCAAAGTCGGGAAAACTTCAGGGAGTTTAAAGTTCCCGTACACTACATTCTTAGAAGACACTAAATAAAGTGATGGGGCCAAAAGGAATGGCCTGTGAGTAATGAGAGGGAGAGAGGAAGGAAGGAAGGAAGGAAGGAAGGAAGGAAGGAAGGAAGGAAGGAAGGAAGGAAGGAAGAAAAGAAAGGAAGGAAGAAAAGAAGGAAGGAAGGAAGGAAGGGAGGGAGGGAGGGAAGGAGGGAGGAAAAGAACTTAAAGAAATGATGATTATTAGAGTAATAGTAAATAGAGTAATAGAGTAATAGTAAATGGAGTATTAGAGCAGTAACCAGAAGATCAAGCCTTAAGATTACCAGGCTATATCAAGATATGTAAAAGGAATTTTTTCAAGGAAGCTTTCAGTGAAAGAAATGAAATAAGGAGCTAACCAGGAAGAGATGATGCTAGAAGTGAATGAGTCACCGTCCCTAGGACAGCCAGGGCCAGGATGTCTTCTGTCCCCTCTGACAACTATCTTTACTTGATAGAAGGATGAAGTGTGAAGCCCAGAAGAGGAGGCTGGAGATTGTATGAGGCTCCTTGAACAACACTGCACCAAAGCTCACATGGATTTATTATTAGGTCCTACGAGTATAGTCTATAAGGAATTATGGAGGGTGGGAGAAGATCTAGGGAGATGGAAATGAGAGAATGCTGTCCTAATGTCCCCAAATATTCTTCTAATCAGATTGTAGAAGAGACATCAGAATGAGATGTTTCCTTTTCTGGGGTGGGGATAAGTATGGGACTCTCCTTCTGGTATTGGCAAGTTGAACATCTTGTAAGGCAGAACATTTTCTCTGGCAAATTGGGTATCTTGTAAAGCAGAACATTTTCTATGGCCTATGGAACAGAATGGTTATCACAGCAAGTCTTGTCAGTCAAATTCTATTGCTTTGTGTGACTCAGAAGGAAAATCAATCCATGAAATGACTTGGATTTTGTTGTTATATTATTGTTTTAACATCTGTCAACAGTGGGTGATATTCATGAGGATGATGCAGAAGAAGGTATCAGAATATTTTTAGGAACAATTTTTCCCTTTAGCAACTCACTCTGTAGTTCGGGTTAGCCTCTTACTAAGTTGCTCAGACTGACCTTTAACTCATGAGAAAGCTCCTGCCTCAGCCTCGTAGGGGCTGTGCTGACAGGCATGAGGTGACCTGTGCCTGGGAACACACTAACATTAAATGACAATACTTAAAGAATGACAACCAGTGGCCACTCTCTGTCAGAATCCATATACATCCACAGGCCTGGGCATTATCTGAAGGTGACAAATATTTGGGAATGGCGTCTTATTCTCTGGCAAGCATCATCAAGACTGAGGTCAGAGGGGAAAAGTGGAAAAGTGAAAGGAAGCGGGAGAGGGGACAGAGGGGCGGGGTAGTTGGGGGAGACTGGGATGAGGATGAGGGGGAGGAAAGGAAGAAGGAAGGTGAAATGGAGGAGATGGGGGGAGAGAAGGAAAGGGGAGGTGAGGAAGAGCAAGAGGCTCTAATACTTGCTGGCAACATGACCCTGGCAAATGACTTACCTTCTCTGAGTGATAATTAACTCATAATGCTGCAGTTAACTAAATGATGTTAAATACACAGTGTGTATTTTAGGGCTTTGTCCAGTAATGGAATTAAATGTTCAGTGATTACACACCGATGATTGCTGTTGATGTGGATAGGACAATGAGCCGGCAGTAACAAAGTGGATATAATGGGCATAGAGAGGTATGATTATGATCCTGTGCTAATATCAATCAATTATAAAAACACAGAAGGCAGACTTCCTCTTCTTATAGGTGTAGAATCAATCAGTCTATGATGTAACAGTAAGAGGAGGTTAACTTAAATATCTCAGTTTTGTTCCAAGCAAGGAGAATGTTTCCCCTTTGTTGTACTAGAAATATGTCATAGGGTAATTGTTTCCACTGGGTGAAATATTTTGAGAATATCCAGGATTGGTATGTGGCAGAAGAGGTAACTACAGTGTTGAAATACAATGTCACAAGGGCAGAGAAGCAAAGGGATTGCCCACCATGCACCATGTTAAGGAAGGGGTAGGGTCTGTGTACTGACAATGAAACCTTAGCTGTGAAAATATAGGGTCGACGAGGGATGTGAATTAACTAGGCTTGCCTAGTAGGAGTGGAGCCCTGGGTTCGATCCTTATAACTAGGGCAAAAAACAGAAAGCAAGGCGTGCCCGAGTAGGAGTAGAACGGGCTACAGTTTACGCAGAAAAGAATAAGCATTTTATGTTTGCTTAGAGATGCATACAATGGAAAGTTGGGAAGAAGTGAGGACCGGAGTTTGCTTGTTGGGAATGAGATGTAGGCCGAAGGGACATGGAGCCTGCGGCAGGGGAGCTGACTTGACTTCATTCTTGGCTTGACGTGGTTCTCCAGCAGCTGACTCTGAGACAGTCAGTTACATGGGAACAGTTTATTTTGGAGACAATACCAAAAATAAGGCATTGAAGGAAGCCTTGTCCCACCTGCCACCTTTTGCAGAGAGCCAAAGGTACCCAG